AGCATGAAGAGCTTGTGCATTTCTTCTGTGTATTCAGGAAGAGAGAATGGGTGATCACGAGAGAAACTGAAAGGGCAAATAAAACCTTCCCAACCTGGTATGCTCTGAACTGTCATCCCCTTGCAAAATTGTCTCCAGGTTCAAGCACAGCACTGTACAGTCACCACAAACCTCCCAGGGAGGAGTTACCCAGTTGAGCAAGTGTGATAAGGCACAGAAATACCCAGACACAAGGAGAACGCCTCCCAGCAGATGGACAGCAGCTCACCCATTGCTTCCTCCAGACATTCCTACTCCATGGCATTGCTGATTGAGTTTCAGCAGAGATTGGGGTAAACGGAGCTCCAAGATTAAAGCAAAGGACCCAACCAGAAGTTTTAATGCCATTTGGGAGCTTGTAAGTGCTTTCAACCCCACGAAATAAGACCCTGCTCAATAAATGAGAGAATTCCCAGCCTCCACTGAGTATTGCACTGATTTATTATTGCTATTGCCCTGCCCATGCTCTTCTCCTTCCCCTCCACGAGTTCCTCATCCATGTGGTTCTTCAACCACATGCAAGATGGTAGAGAATCCCATCAGCTAGAGTCAGTTCTTCTAGAGTCAGTTCTTCCTGAAATTGGGAGGGTTTGAAGATCCTGGAGCACCACAGAAGTGAGGCTGAATGGGCCAAAATCCCATCAGATGCAGACCTGACCAACACAGGTCTGATACAAAACAGATCCCAGCAGTGGGACTTAAGCCCTTATCTAACATCTCAGTGCTGGGACTTCCTTGGGTGAGCTCAGTAAAGCAAAGACAGTGTTTGGAGAAATGGCTTTTTGGTTTTTTCCCACCTAAAAAAGGTCTTTCACCATGGGAAGTAAAGCTGCTCCCATCAGGCTGTTCCTTGGCTAGAAACAGGACGGCTGCAGCAGCCAGGAAGATTTGGCAAGCAGAAGGGTTATTCTCACGTGCAGCTCTGCCTGCAACAGACCCATCAAGACACCCACGTTCTCACACCTTTCTGTAGTTTGTATGAACAACTACGACCTTTGGCTCACTGCTAACAAAAGTGAGACTCTAATCTGACCTTCCATCAGTACTTAGATGTTTATTGAGCCTAAAGCCACCAAGCAGAGCAGAAAACCCTCCAAATCCTCCTCTCCTAAGCCAAGTCCTAGATATTCCAGAGTTGGATATGTCCAAATCACCACATGATTTCTGGTTTCTACAGCTTTTTAGCAACATGAAGATCTGATGAAATAGCCAAGTGTCTTCTAATGAGGCTTTCCCCCTCAGAGCTCTCCTTTAAACCACACAGACACAAACCACTGCTGTATTTCACAGTTTAAAAGCCCTGCTCCTAGAGGTGGGCTCCTACCATGGACATGTGAGGACCTGTGTGCTCACTGTTCCCTCAGAAGCCTGTCTCTACAAAACAGCTTCCCAGAAGCAGGTCCAACATCCACCTTCCAGAACTGCTTACCCCAGCCCCACACCCCCAGCCCTGCAGAGAGCAGGAACCACCAGCTCCTTCCCTGAGCGTGTTTGCCAGTGCCCATGACATCCCAAATGCCACCAGGACATCAGCATGAATCCATTCTGGGTCACTCTCCAACAGCCCCTGCCAGTCCCACTCTGCTGCAGCTTCAACCCAAAGCCAGTGGTAGAGAAGTACTTGGTGTGGCTGTGGATCCTGGGAGATTTATTGATCCCTGAACTCTCTTGGCTGAGTAAGAATTGATGAGATTTGATTAGACACCACAATTAGACTTCAGGGAGTGTGTCAGCTCAATACACTCAACAGCATAACACTGCTCTGAGAAGGAAAAGGATCTGACTCCTTTCCTGGGAGGGAAGGCATCAGGTAGGTGCCCAAATTTTGCACCACCAAAATTCATTAAACTGAGGCCAGAACTCTCATTAGGGTGGATGTGGAGAGACAACCCTCAGCATCACAGGAGAGCCATGGGAAAGATCATCTCCTCCTGGTCAGTAATTTCCCAGCTACATTTGGTGTTCTCTCAGAAGAATTTTCTCAAGGTAATCAGAAGAGACACAATTAACCACACACAGATGCAGTAAAGTCTGTCCAGTAACTAAATCATCTTCTTTCTACTAGAGAATAACTTTTAAGATCCCTTAAGGTTAAGTCAAGCACAAGAAGCATTTTCTACTCCTATATTTAGTGCTTCAGCAATGGAGGAAGCCCAACCAACATCTCTGAACGTTTCAAAACACAGAAAGAACCCCCCTGCCTTGAACTGAACTGAGGTTTAAAAAAATTCCTCTCCACTGCTACCATTTTCTAACCTGTTCCTAAAACTGGTGGGATTTTCACAGTCCAGAAGAGTAAATTGTCAGCCTGGCAATAACCTCACAGGTCCAAAAGTGTTTCCTGCACAGTGTGCTTGTGGTGGGGACCCAGCCACCTCTGCTGCCTCAAGGAGCTGAGAATGAAGAGCCCAGAACCCTGGATCATAACGTGTCAGCTTCAAAGATGGGCTAGATTTGATGGGGAGCACTTCACAGTCTCTGGCAGCCTAAGTCAACTTCTTACAGCCTAGAAGAAGGGAAAGGCTGAGAGAGTTCCCACAGTGGAGTGGTTCTGAAGTGTAATATTGATGTCTAACCACTGCCAGCTAAAAGGAAGATGGGGTGGAAGCTGCATTTGCTGCTGCTTGGCTGAAGCACAACAACGTGAGCTGGATTTAACCCACTGATGGCTTACAGAGACCCAAACAGGCTCACGTTTCCAGGGTTTGGAATTTCAACTGCCCCAGAAAACACCTATCCACCCAGGCAAACAGTTACCTGCAGGAGAACCCCTTCTGCAGAAAGAGGGCTGAAGATTTCTGGTGACTACTGCAGACCCAACTTGGGAACTGTGCCCAGCTCCTCAGGGCTGTCTCCTGTGGGGCACTCTCATCTCCCCCAGGTACACAGAGCCCCAGCTTGCTGCTGAGCCAGGGTCACCCCGTGCTGGTGTCTCCCAGCCAGCCCAGCAGAGCCCAGAGCAACCAGGCCACGACACTGGTGGTGAGGTGCCCCCCACTCCCCAACAGCCAGGCTCTGCCAAGCACTGCGTGGTGCTGGCAAATCCCTTCCACACAGAGCATTTCACTCTTCTTCTGACAGCTACTAACCACTGCTGACACCTCCAGCACATCAACAGACAACACCTCCTGCCCTGCTGCAATGTCCCACTCCTAACGCAATGATGGAAGTTATTCATCAGCCCCAGGCTGCAGGTTAAGAGCAATGTCAGCACATCTAAGGACATTAGAAATGCTTTCATGGTGTTTCTGGGTTAGTGCTGGCAAGCCCTTCCTCCTCATCCCCCCCTGAGCCCTGTGCTTCTGGAAACCCAGAAGAAATTGGAACACAAAGCACACTGCCCCCAGGATCTGTGTTGAGAGTAAGGAGTAAACAAAGAGAATCGATAAGAAAGTGAGATCAGCAAAAGTCTTTTCAGTTTTAACAAATTAAGAGTCTAAATAGTACAAATAAGGTTTTTTTTTTTTAAATTACTTATCCCAATATAGACCTTTGTCAGTATTTTATTGCAGTAAAATTCTATTGCCAGGGCCCCTTATTGCAACATCAGTTTTAAAGCCTGCTGAGGGAAGCCTGTTCCAGGCCAAGTTCTGCTTCAAACCTGGTGGCAGTCTGCAGTGACAAGCTTCCAGGAGCAGGAGAGGACCCAGCCAGTGCACACTGTTCAGTGGTGAGCTGTCACTGCACGGAGGTAAGACCTTGCAGACTTCCTAACACAAGCACTGCATCTCCACTTGCTTCTTGCTCAGGCCCTGAAGTGCTGGATCCAGCCAGGTGGAAGACAGCTCTGTCCACTCCTGCAAACCCAGTGTGGGGCTGATCTCCCCTGCAGGACACACACGTCACCCAGGAGTGAGGATTCAGGTCAGAACTGTCACCTTCCAGAAGCTTTGGGGACTTACAGCAAGAGATGCAACGATTTGGATGCAGATCCTTCCCTCGTTCTGAGATGTGTCATGACCTCCCCAGGGCAGGGAGGCTGTGCACCACACCTTCTCCCCAGGGAGCAAGACCAGGGGGACTCTTTACATCCCAGTGATGCACATCCCTTCCCCTCCTAAGAGCCTTACTCCACCTGCATCACTCCTTCAGCTGCAGTGGAAGTAACTGGCAGAGGAAAGTCCAATTCAAGACCAACGAGGCTGCCTCGGTCAGGATGTCCATAGCCAAAACCTCCCTTTGGAATGCAAACAACCCGGTGGCTGTGACAGATCCAAGCAGCCCACCCATATCTTGCTCCCTCTGGGGTGAAGAAATGGATGAGACTAGGAAATCCTGCAGCACCCATGCACCTTCTCCTCCATCTCCTCCATGGGAGCCTTGAATTTCAGGAGGGGCGGGTCACCGCTGGACACTGTGTAGTACACTGGGGTCCCATTGGAGCTGTAGGGGGAAGTCCTGGACCCAAGGAGGTGAGACTTGGCCTCGGCCCCGTTCTCAGCAGCTCCTCCCATGCTGCTGCTGCTGAAGTGGGTGCTGAGGAAGGGGTGGCTGAGGAGCTTGGCTGCAGCCCGCTGCCGCTTCAGCTCCGACAGCGTGTGGTGGTTGTGCTCCTTGTAGGCCCCCCAGAAGTGCTGGGGGTCAGGGAGCCCCGGGCTGCCGTAGGGCATTACGTGGCCTGGGGTGCTCTCGGGGTCGGGGTGCATGCTCCAAACGTCCCCGTTGGAGAAGGGGTACTGGTAAGGGCTGGCAGGTGCCAGCAGTCCATTCTGCAGGGGGATTTCAGAGTCACACTGGGTGCTTTTGTTCGCTAACTCTGGGAGGAGGGAGGCGTTCTCCAGCACTGAATTCTGTAACAAGAAGACAGGAAAGAAGAGCATTTTCCCCTCTCCCCCATAGCACAGCTCATCCCTGGGACAACCTCCTAGACCTGCTCACCCTCAGCCTTCCCATCAGCACAGATGTTGAACCCACTCACTGACAGGACCCTCTAACACTGGGAGCCCCAGCCAGGAGCTGGTTCCCAACAGGAACGTGGAACATTAACTCAGGACTCACCAAAACCAAAACAGAGCTAGATAAAGATTAATACATGAGAATAACTGAATTGAAACCAAATAACTGCAAAGCCAGACTACAATTCTTTTGTGCTTACCAGCTTGTTAGCTGTAAAGAGAAAGGCACACCCTGTGTTTTCTGAGCTTCCTGGCTCACCAGGGCCTTACCTCAGAATTATTTAGGCAGCTGTAAATCTAAAGCAGTCTTTCCACTTGAGTGGGACAACCCAGTTTATGCCAGATCAGAATTTGGTCTTTTGCCTACACCTGATGGATGAGGATTAGAAATTTTTCACCCACCTTCCACCCCGAGGCACCTCCTGCTATTGAACCTGTGCTACCAGCCCTCCTTGGGGACCCCCATAAGAGAGAAGAGATGCCTTACAGGGTCTGTATTCTCCTGGTCAGAACGAGTCTCCCCAATATCTCCAATGAGACCCAAGTTTCTTCCTTCTTCTGCTGCCCCCAGCTGCTGCCAGACCATGGCCTCCTTCTCACACTCCTTCCTGTAGAGGTTGGTTCTGTCGGAGAGGCTGGCCCTCCTCACCACCTTCCTGGGGGACAGGGAGAAGGGCATGGAAGCTGTGAGCAGGACATGACACTTCCTCCTACCCTGCAGCTCTTCTCACCTCCTCCTCCTCCTCCTTCTCAGCCTCTCCCACTGGAATGGAAGGTGAATTTTGCTTCCTGGCACCCATGCAAAGCAGAGGTGCTAGCGTGGGTATTAAAGGTGGGAGGAATTTTGATGAGTTTTAAAGCAGCACTACAAAATCTGTGTCAGATCTCATACAGCTCACCTGGTGGATCTGCTCTGCAGCCAGTGAGGAAATGCAGAGGAAACCACCCAGGGGCTGTGTAGGGAGTTTTGTGGTCTGCAGGACAGCTTTGGTGCCTGGTGAACATCTCATACAGTGAGCAGACTGTTGGAGCACAGTGTCTTGGCCACCAGACACACTCTGGAGAAGCTCCACTTGAAGCACTGCCCCCCTGAGAGCAGCACCAGTGGTTTGACAGGCTCAGTTCTCACCACTCAATCCTCTGCTCAGAGCACTCCTTAAATCACAACAGCCCCAAGCCATTTGCTCCCCAGGAAACCCCTTTTCCTAGCGAAAGAGCCACTCTTCAAAGGAGCTCTGCTTCCAGCAACCAAACATCAGCTTCTGCCTCTCAGAGTCCCTCCAGGAAGGACAGAGGGGTTGTTCTCCACACGCTGACCACAGGGTCCTCTGCAACCACGTCTGGGTGGCCAGGCTGAGCCCAGGGTGACCTGTGGGGAGCAACACACTCACCCCCGGCTGCCAGTGCTGGAGGTCCTTCTGCTCAGGGAGGATTTATGCCTCATCTGAGACTTCATGATCACGTCGTGTTTGTGTTTCAGCTCCAGAAGCAACACTTTGAACTCCTCCTCTTCGCACAGATCTGTGGTGCACACAAACCAAGCCATGAATCAGACAGGGCAGATGTGGTTCCATTAATACCATGTCACTAACTGTGCCTTCCTGCTGTACACAGCTACAACTGCCAGGAGGAAGAGGAGGGAAACTGAAGCAGAATATGCTTAGGCACATTAATCTCTGAACAAACCAGAGGAGGCAGAATGGTTGGGACACCTAAAGAGGATTGTGACAGGGGCTCAGCTTTGCAGGGATCCAGCTCTTCAGCTTGGTTTTGTCCCACCCCTGCACCACGCTGTGCCTTTACCCACCAAAGGGTGACAGACACGCTGCCCACTCCACCAGTCCTTCAGGAAGGGGGGAAAAGACATTTCTGCAAGACACCCAAGTCTTAGGGCTGCACTCAGCAGCTGCTCAGGTCCAAGAGTGCAACTTAAGAGCAGGAAGATTCCCAAGCACAGGGACAGGGGGACAACAGCAGTAGAAGCACAGAGGAGAAGGATCTGCTGCTTGAGAAACTCCTTCTCCCTTGTTGTCATGAGAAGAGAGAAGGACTTTCAGAAGTAACAAAGCAGGTACTTTAAAACTTCAGTCCCAGTTAAAGCAACTGTTAAATCACTGCAACTTTGATACTAAAGACACCTGAAAAATGACATTAATGCTTCTGAAAGCACCACGTGAAGACTCCAGCAGGCTCAGAGGGAAAAACCTTCCTTAGCAATTTCTTCTCTTTAAGCTTAGTAAACTCACCTATTGGCATCTCATCCAAAGATGTCCTGGCACTCAAACTAGCCCCATGGGACACAAGCAACTCAGCCATCTGCATCTAAAGAAAAGGACAGAAAGCCAAGTTGACAAGAGGGATTTTAGGCCATCCCTTTCTTCCTCAAAGCTGAAAAGTTGGACTAAGACAAGAAGCAATGGCACAGATGCTCAGCTCTTGTCACATTATTCTGGTATGTGTGTGATGTTAAACATTATTCTGGTATGTGTGTGATGTTAAACATTGTTCCTACCATCCACCTGCACAGACTTACTACCCCTGACCTTTCTCATCAACAGGTTCTTTTTGGAGCCCCCAGGACCTCATCTGATGCTGTCCAGAGAGTGCAGCCCCAGTACAGATTTCTTCCATTTGCAAAGTCCTCCACAACTCATCCAGGCAGAGTTAAAGGTCACCCCCACACATGACATTTGCCACAACACCATTACCTGTCCCCAAAAAGCAGCAGCATGAAGAGGTTCCCAGCCATCCCAGTCCTTAACATCCAGGCTTGCTCCCTGGTCCAGCAGGACTTCAGCAGCATGCAGATAACCATTGGCTGCAGCTATGTGCAGCTAGGAGAAAAGGAACAGAGCATGAACAACCTGCAAGGGCCACACATGGTTCCACACCAAGCTTCAGAGCAATTCCTTGGGTAATACCTGAGCCTAGATCTGGACAGGCAGCACATTTCACAGCAGGCAGATGCCATCAGGTCAAAAAGCAGGTTGTTCCTGTGACTAAACCTCAGGATTACCTGCATGGGATTCTGTTTGGAGGTTAAACTGCTTAACAGTTCTTAAAATGCATAGGGGTTAGAAAATGAATGTTTTCACATTTTTAAATCAAGGCCTTTTAAGTGCTTCCCAACTGGGAAATGGCACCATCAAACCACAGCCCTGCAATGGAGAACATCATCCACAGGAAGGAGAATCACAGAATGTATTGAACTAGCAGGGACCTCCAAAGGTCACAGAGTCCAACCCCCTAGAATAAACAGGGACACCTCTGACTAGCTCAGGTTGCTCTGAACCCCCAACATCTAACCTAAATCTACCCTTTTCTAGCTTAAAACCATTATCCCTTGTCCTGTCATTCCTCATGCCAGAAGAATGTCTCCTCTCCCCTACCTAAGTGCTGTGGATGTGATTTTTTTGGATCAAATTTTCAGCTTGTTTTAGTCAGGGCTCCCTTTGTGCAGCTGCCCTTCCATGCACACTGCAATTCTTTTCACCATTTGAAAATCAAAATCATTTTAATCCTTGGCTGCTGCTCATTAAGGGAATATAATTTTTCAGATATTGGCTTCCAACTACAACCACCACTTTGGAGACATCAATAATAGTCTCCTTTTGTCCCTCATGATACTTCATGTCTCTCAAGATTTTCCTAATTGCAGTTTGCTGTTGCAGCTCTGAGCAAAACACTGACCTGTGCACTCATCTGAAGGCATGAACTCCACTTGGAGCTCACTGTGCCTCAACTGTGCTGAAGAGGAGGATGAAAAGCTTCTGGTCAAAGATTTCCAGCTGGATTCCACCACACAAAAATGAAACCCTCCTCTAGAAATAAATTCTGATCCTTTCTGGCTATTCAATTCCTACATCACATGTCTGGCACTGGTTCATACCCTCTAGAGGCTATAGGAAACAACCAGGAATCACTTGGGGGTGATATAAAAAGGCAAGTCAAGGGGTTTGCTTAAATTTATGTATAGAATCCTTGTTAAAGGAAAAAAAATGTTAAAAAAATAAGCTGCAATAACAGCTTCAGTCATCTGAGTTTATCTTGGAGGGAGCTTGCCCTCATCTTATGCTTCTGGTATATGCTAGAGGTGACAATTTAGATTGAGAAACCTGAATTGATTGCCATGGTCTGGTCCTCAAACAAATGACACCAAGTGCCCTGCAGATCAGCTCTGTTTGGACCTGAGCATCCAATGACCACAGTGGTATGGAAGCCCCAACACATGGGACAGCATCACTGAACTTTCCCTAAGTTGGAAGCAAGGGTTTAAGAGATGCACCTGCAGGTGAAACAGAAGGGAGCTGGACTAGGGCTGTTCAGCCTTCTGGTCCCTGCCCAGTCAGCTGCCAGCTTGTCCTGGGCTGTCCCTCTGCCCTGGGTGCTCTCCTCTGCCCTGGGTGCTCTCCTCTGCCCTGGCTGCTCTCCTCTGCCCTGGGTGCTCTCCTCTGCCCTGGGCTGTCCCTCTGCCCTGGGTGCTCTCCTCTGCCCTGGGTGCTCTCCTCTGCCCTGGGTGCTCTCCTCTCTCCTGGGTGTTCTCCTCTGCCCTGGGTGCTCTCCTCTGCCCTGGGTGTTCTCCTCTGCCCTGGCTGCTCTCCTCTGCCCTGGGTGCTCTCCTCTGCCCTGGGCTGTCCCTCTGCCCTGGGTGCTCTCCTTTGCCCTGGGTGCTCTCCTCTGCCCTGGCTGCTCTCCTCTGCCCTGGGTGCTCTCCTCTGCCCTGGGGCAGATGCCATCCCAGGGAACAAACCCGGGGTGTGGGAGCCAGACTGTGCAAAGCAGGAAGAGGAGGAGGCAGGAAGCCTCAAGTGCCCTACACCAGATCCTGCACCCATACAGCCCAGAGGACTCTCACATCTCCTCCCTGGCAGTCAGGTCAGACTTGGAGACTAGTGAGAGGCAGGAGATGACCAGGAGGTCGTTCAGAGCCACCCCTCTGTGTCTGCAGCTCCTCACTGTGGGGTTTCCTGCACCTTTCTTTGCCAGCTGCTGGTACCAGCCACTGCCAGACAGGAGCCAGGAGCTCAGCAGCCCTGCTGCAGGCCTGGACAACTGGCAGAGCTCACACAAACAAGGGGTGAGGTTCCACAAGTGCAGGGTTAGACTCTGTGCTACATCAGCTGTGCTCATGGGCAGAGCCTGGCCCCACGTGACAATGAACTAAAACAGGGAAAAAGATCAAACCAGCCTCCTCCCAGTGACTGGGACCTGTTCATTTTGTATCAGCCCTGCCACGGGGCAGGTTTCATAACCTGCAGGCTGAGGGAAGGCAGAAAGAAGCTGCAGCAGTTTCACTCACCAGTGTAGCACCTTGGGCATCAGTCCTGTTCAGGTCTTGTCCAGTGGCAAGTATGTCATGAATGTCACAGATCATGACCTGCTCTGGGGCAGCTCTCATCTCATTGATCCTCTCCTGTGTAATTCCTGTTAAAATGCCAGTTAGAATCATAGAATCCTAGAATCCTTGAGGTTGGAATGGACCTCCAAGATCATCAAGTCCAACCATTGAGCCATTAGGGCTCTAAAGTCCTCTGTTAAAACAGATCAGAATCTGTCAGGGCTGGAAGGGACCACAAGGATCCCCCAGTTCCAACCCCTCTGCCATGAGCAGGGACACCTCCCACTAGATCAGGAGTTGGAAAGGGTCTTTGTCTCCACTGGTTGAGTAAAATGAGGCACAGTAATTCCTAGTTGATGGGACCTCAGGTCCTTTCCAGGGGCTGTGCAGCTGAGGGGACTGACAACTATCCCTCACCCTCACTGTTGTTCAGAAATCAGAGAAACTAAACTAGAGTCAGGTTCCAAGAAATTCCACCAGGCAGCAGCTCTCTGCTCTTCTCCAGAGGCAAATCAAGAGCTTGGGAAACAAGGTCATTTTTAGTACTACATTGACCCATTTTTGTATTTTACCTGGACTCAGTGTCCTTACCTTGGTAGGCCATGCAAGTCTCAATGACATCCAGGGTTGGCTCATCCTCACAGAGGTCATATGGCATGTTGCCATCTGCATTCACTGCCAACAAGTCTGCTCCACTGTGAGGGCAAAGAGAGGGTGTCACCCCAGGATGGACCCCAGGCACCCCAGGGCAGACTGTGCCAACCCCTGGGGTAAACACTCAGCAAAACCAAGCTGCCCAAAGTCACCAGGATTGTGTGAGATAAAGATCTGAAGCCAAGCCATGGAGCTATGGATGCAGGAGATAAATTCCCAAGGTGGATGAAAGGCAGCACACCAGGTTCCTTCCTGTGGGGCATGAGGCACTGAGCCCTTCCTGGCCTCTCCTGTCCTGGCACTGGGCAGACTGGCAGCTTCTTAGAGAAGAGAATTATCTGCTGAACTTGTGGGTAACACCACCAAGCCACGAGGAGGTGTGTGTTATCTGGGCACAGAGAAGTTCTCAAGGGGCAGAGAAGCTGGACAAGAAGGGGGCTGGCCAGAGGAGGGAGCCTTGTGTCCAGGGCTGCACTGGCAAAAAACACTCATTAAAAAGTACCCTGTCAACTGGAGGATTCTTCTTTTCAGTTGTCCCAAAGCACTCCTCTAAGTGCTCTAGTGACCTCAGAAGGCCAACTCTTTGGGAGTAAAATTGCCAGCTAAACTGATCACTGTCCCCACACTCCTGCACAGCAGAAAGACCCCAGAACTTTCTTCTGAACTCTGCCCTTTTAGGCAGCTCTTGGATGGTTCCAGCTGAATGCTGATGCACCTTGACAGTTACTGGCCATGGAAGGACAACATGCAGTATCCACTTGAATTTATGTTCCTGGTTTGGCTTTTTCCCCCCCTCTGCCTGAGCAGAGCAAACTACATCAACATCCACATTTGCAAAGTGCCAGGGTTGGTGTGATTAGCCAATAAAACCCAAGGAAGGGACATCTTTTGTAGGCTGCTTCCCCTGATGATCCCCAAGGTTCCAGGTCCCATGACACTGCCTTCCAAGGCAATGAAAAGCAGTGTTTAACCAGTCATTTGGCATGTGACACCTCCTGTAAAGGCCAATTTTGATTGTAGCAAACAAATTAAAACACTTCATTCCTCAAAAGTCCAGGGGAAGAGTGTTTCTGAGCATGGGATCATGACATTGTCTACTGAAGTGCAAATTTTCTGGCAACTACCCAATATGGGGCAGCCTGCAAGGACTGTGACTGGAAGCTTCAGTTCCTCACCTTCTCAGCCATCCCCATGACACTCCTGCACCTTCAAAAGCCAGGAGCACACTATGTTCTTCCACATTTCCTTTGTTTGCTCCATTTTTATGCCCTCCATCCAAAAATTTCCTAACCCAAGTGGGAACATCCTCCAAGGGACGACTGCATCCTCTGCTCCACTTCTTTTATTGGCCAAAGAAAGGCCAAATTTTCAGTGCTAATCTCCCAGATGACAACATCCCAGGGAGAAGCCTCCACACAGAGGCAGGACCATCTGCTCCAGGCAGGACTCAGAGCAGCTGCCCATTAAATGCTGCACATGGGGCAGCTCCAACCACATCTGGCTTCCTCCTCTGGGAGAGATTGGAGCTTTAGGGCCTTGGTAAAGTCAAGTGGAAGGTCCAGTGTGAGCTCCCTGTGTCACACCACTGGGGAACAAGCCCATGACAAGAAGCTGAGTGGTTATTAATTAAAAGCCAGCCAGCCAGGTCACAAAGTTCACCCAACTCTTTTGGCTCTACCAACACGCTGCTGCCCTCCTGCATCAGTGTCTCTCTGGCCATGGCTGGAAGACCTGAGGTTGTGTTGAAGAGCTGGAGAGTGGGATCCTGCTGGCTGCCCCTGTTTCTACCCCTCCAGCAGGTGTGGTTCAAGCACAAACACAGCCACCTACACACCAGAATACAGGCAAAAAGGGGCAATTTTTGGCCCACTCTCCAGAAGCTTCATGAAACTGAGTCAAGCCACTTGGGGTTTTACTGTGCCTCCCTTCTCCTCTTCCTCCTCCACCCCCTCCTCCCCCAAGCAGGAAGGAGCCTGGAAGGAGGGAATAATCACTGCTGCCATCTCACGAGGTGCTAAGCAGTCTCAGTTTCCACCCACAGAAACTGGGGGGTAGAATCACATCTGCAGAAAGGGATGGACACAAAAAGCCACCTACTGCTGGATGAGGATCTTCACCAGGTTGATGTGACCACACGTAGCTGCTGCATGCAGTGGAGTCCACAGCTCGTTGTCCTTCGCGTTGACGTTGGCCCCATGGTTGAGGAGAAGCTTCACTATCTCTTCATAGTTGTCTATGCAGCACTGGTGAGGAAGAGAGGCAAAGAGATGGGGTTTTTTTTAGACTTTGGGAAGATGAGGGCTCATATTTGCTCAGTTGTACCTGTGCACCTGGATGGAGAGACCTACTTCACCCTGCAGTGTTGGGCAACAAGTGTCTCCAGCAGAGTGACACACCACGTTGAGCACCAGCAGGTCAGGAAGGCAGCACACCTCCAGTGGGCAGGCTGAAGGTCACTGGTGTTGACAGAAACTTTTGGGTTGAGGGCAGAGCCAGCAGGGATTAACAGCAAATACACACCCAGCTTCTGTCCCACTGGGGCCTCCATATTGGAGAGCAAACCTTGCAGAAATTCAGTGCAACCAGTATAGCCACAGAAAGGGCTGAGCAGACCAGCTGGCATCCCCTTTGCTTCAGAACCCCCCCCACACTGGCATGGGATGAGGAAAACTCTCCTCAGCAGCTCACACTCCATACCAGTTACCCAAAGAGAGCCAGGTGGGATTCCCAGAATTGTGAGGTACCTCCCAGGGCACCTTTCACCTCCTGAACAAACCCAACATCCAACCCAGCATCCAACAACCCCAAACCCAACGTTTACACCCCAGTCCCAGGGCAGCCTGGCAGAGGGGCCTCAACCCCTCTCCCTTGGGGAAGGTGGGATTTGCTTTTTGATCCACCTCGTGCTCACTCCTTGACACAAATGTGTGTGATGAAGACACTCAAATGAGATTGCTCCTTGTGCAGGAAGCCTGTTACAGGAGAGCCCCAGCTCAGGGCTGCAGTGGGGGCTCCTCCTGGGGCTGAGTTACAGCCCACAGCAAGCTGAGGGACAAGGACCCTCTATGAATTACTTTGGCTGTGGCCCAGCCATGACTTCATCCCAGGAGTGCAGCCCCCCCCTTCACTGGGAGCCACTGCTAACGGGCAGGGGGGTTCACTTGGGGGCTTCTCCCTGCTCAGGGATTCAACTCATTCTAGTGGATGCAAAGCTCCCAGATGCACCTTTCCAACAGCAGATCCTTCTGTGGGCTGGGTGGGATTCTCTGTGGCTGCAGAAAGCAAGGAGGCTGCCAGCATTTCTCTGGGTGGAGAATCTCATCTCTTGAGAGAGTTGTGGGGGGGGGGACCTTTTATTCTTCTAGAAATCAGTTTGCATATTTAAGCAAACAGCCATCCAGCCTTGAAAAGAGCAGGTGACTTGCAGAAGAACCCAAAACCCTGAGCCAGTGGGAGCATTTACAGCAGGGACTGATGGTGAGAGACCTGTGAGCCCCCATCCTGCCCCTGAGCTGAGGGTGACACCCAGGCCACTGCTCCACACGGCAGCAGAGGTGGCAGCTGGCACACAGCCTGTCCCATGGACCTTCCCCAGGGTGAGTGGCCTGCTGCTCTCACACTGAACATCAGCACCCAGGAGGAAGGGTGGGGACAAGGGCTGCACCCTTTTGGGGTCAGTGCAGGGGCTGTGAGGAAGGACAGACCCACACACCACTACAGCAGGGCTGTCTGTTACTGGCCATCAGCTGCTGCCATCTCATGCAGGCTTCTGGAAGTCCCTGAGCCTCCAGACTGCTGCAGAAGACTCTCCAAGCATCTTGTGCATCATTTATTTAAGCTGCTTTCAAAACTTATGCCCAAGTCTCTAAATTTGAGTTCATCTGCTTTAAGAGTTTACAGCCCAGTCCTGCAAAGATTAAAGGGTGGGAGAAATGTTCACATCTGAAATCCAGCCTCGATCCCTGAGCTCTTTATCATCACTGGCCAAAGTCTGGGATACAGCAAGAGAAGGGTTTGATCTCAGTTTGCTCCCCAAGAAACAGGATGGCCAGCACAGCACGGTGAAGTCTCACTGCTTTAACTGACCAAAAAGCCAAGAAACACAAGAGCTCTGCCTCTTGACCCCCACAGCTCTGCTCAGGGGGCAGTGGGAAGAGGTGACAGTGTGGAGCAGGACAGAGCCAGGATCTCCTCCCACACCTCACCTGATGCAGTGCAGTTAATCCATCTTCATTGCACAGGTCTGGGCTGATGTTGCTCTTCAGCAAGTAGCACACTGTCAGAGAAGAGACAGGAGGAGAGGAGAGTCAGGTCAGTACTCCTAACACATCTCTTGCTCTCAGCTAACCCTGGCCAGTCCAATTCCAAGGCAACCTGCACCATCAAGGTGTTCCAGAGTGGGCAGAGCTGCAGGAGACCCCACAGCCAAGAGCCCAACCCTGGTGTGAACCTGCAGCAGGGCTGGTGAGCAAAAAGCCTTCTTGGTTTTACCCAGCAGAGAGCAGCAGCACACAATTTTCCCCCTGCTTCCTTCCAAAGGAGGCTGCTGTGCCAGCTGCCACCCTCCCAGGGCTGTGCTGGAGCAGTCTGCACTGGCAGCTGGGGCTCTGGAGCCCCTGCACACAGCAGCCCCTCAGGGCTCAAAGGCCAGTGGGGATTTGGGGCTCCTGAGTCACAC